ACGCACACGCACGCACGCACACCTGTTCCGCCAGCCCTCCCCCTGACCTGGGAGGCCGCTTGCTACTCCTCGGCAGTGCTCACACCCAGCCGAGCTCTGAGCCGCGGCCACATGGATGCTGACTCGTGGGAATGCTGTGAGCCTCGGGGGCTCCTTCCCTGGACGGCTCCTCTTGCCCTTGCCCTCGGCTCTCTGACACACACTTTCCGGTTCTTTGTCCCAACTTTTCCAGTCGTATCCACAGCTACTCTCCCAGCCCTGGTAGCTCTAGGGAGCTCCCCAAAGTAGGCCTGGTGTGGGCTACAGCCTCCCAACTCCCTAGAGCTCCAGAGGCTACGGGGACACGAGGGTGCATCTGTAGGAGGCCCTATGAGACCCCGGTGCTGCCCACCCAGAAGTGAGGAGCTGGAGAGTCCTGCAAACTAAAGACCCAGGGGCATGCCCCTCTGTGGGCTCTGTCAGCCAAACCCGTCCCTGCCTTCCCTTCTGACGCACTGTGGGAGAGCCGGGCCTCTCCCTGGACACCAGTCTACGGTGCTGGTGGGTACGAAAGACACTGCTGGAGATGCGGCCCTGTGGGACATTGTCCAATTTCCCAGCATGCTCCACGGCCCATCTTAGCCCTTGGCGGGGTTGGGAGAGGAAGGGAGGGTTGGTGCCGAGTGGGGGCCAGGCCCGTCGAGGCCGGAGTGAATGCTGCATTGTTGGCCAGGCCAGAGTCACAGATAATTACCTCAATTAGTGACAATGGGAGAGTAATAAATACAGGCTTAGTGTCTCCTGCCCCACCAGGGCTCCGAAGATTAATCCAGGCTGACGGGCGGGCCCTGAATGGCGTGATGGACAATTCATTAAACTCCCCAAATGCCGCACAACCTGGGCGTGAAGGCTGAGTTAGCCCCCTGGGGGCTGCGCCTTTGTCCCGATTGTGTGTCTCCGCCACAGCAGAGCCTCGCAGCCCCCGGAGAGCGGGGAGGTGAGTGGGGCTCCCCGAGCCTGGCCAGGCGGCGGGGGGATTAGGCCTTGGTCCGGCCCTGGTTGCCCTGGCACACGGGCCCAGCCTGGCTGGAATGTCCGTGGGGGGAGCGGGCCGAGCGGAGGGGCGGGGCCGACAAGGTGGGGTAAGGGGGGCACACAAAACCAGGGGCAGGAGGAGTTAATTAGACGTCAGCCGAGGAGGGCTAGGGGCCACAATAGGGCTGAGGGGCCGCCAGGGACGGCCCCTTCACTTCCGAGGATTACTGGGGAGGAGGGAGAAGGGAGGGCTTCAGCCCTGGGGGAGCCGAGCTGGAACCTTCACAGGGTGGCACTGCCCCCTCTTGCCCAGCTGGGCACCTACCTGGCAAATGGCTTGGAGGCAGGTGGCTCTGGCAGCCTGGGCAGGTTCCCACAGCACCCGTCCGAATGGCCCTTTCTTTGCCCCATGGCACCTACATGGGAGCACGACTGGTGCAGGTGGAGACAGGACTTCCTGTGTGCTGGGGAAGTAGCGGAGGCAGGCATGCTTAGGGTCCCGCTCTCAGGCCTCCTTCCCAGCCTGCCCCCCACCACATAACCCACGGAGGGAGACGCGGACGCTAAAGCTAGCTTTGCTGGACCACAAGGCTGTCAGGCTAAGGCCGGGACGCTCAGGGTGGGACTGGGGGCTGCGGCTGCAGTGAGGCAATGCCCCCCAGCACATGTGGCTGTGAGTGCACACACGTGCTTCCGCCTGTGCCCGCGGGGTGCCTGTGCCAGGCCTGGCATTCAGCGAGCCCTCAGTAAACGCCTGTTGAGTGAACACAGTACAGGAATCCCCGTTTTGCGTTTTGCCGGGGGCAAGTAGAGCAGATGTGAGGGAGAGAAACGGCGTGGGGCTGCGCCCGGCCGGAGCGGTGGGTGTGGGCCCTTTCATGCCAGGCTCCAGCTGTGACCCAGGGAGGAGGAGGACACCATCTCCACGCACATGAGCAAAGTCTAGGAAAGTGGAGCAGCAGTTCCTTCACCTGGAAGAGGAAAGAAGGAGGAGGAAAAGCAGAGGAGGGGGAGGAGAAGAAGAGGAGAGCAGAGCAGGAGCCTGCTGGAAGCCCCACTTCCTCTCGGGCCGCAGAGAAGAGGGCAGCCCTGGCTCCTCCCTGGGGATGACAGGAGCGAGTTGGCGGCAGTCCCCTGGGCATATTTATAACCTGCTGCTCCTCACCAGCGTCTGCTTTTAGTCCAGACGGGGGAGGGGGCAGGGGGTGGTCTGTCTCATGCTGGGCTCCCCGACTGGGTGTGGAAAGACTGAGTAAGGGTGAGAGGTGGGCAGCTGTGCGTGGATATTCCTGCTCACACCACAGCCAAACAGCTTATTTTCTCCTCATTTTGTTATTTTTCTGCCTCTGGCTGGGAGAGCAGGACTGAGCCAGCCCCCGGGGGCTGGGGGAGGGCTCAGGACCCTAGGTATTTGCAGCCCCACTGACAGGGTTTTTCCGGGTGCTTGTGGCCGGGTGTGAGCAGTGCTAGCTTCTGGCCCCCCGGGGACCGCGCGTGGCCTGCCGTCTCGGTCCTCTCAGCTTTTCCGCACCCCTCCCAGGATATTTCAGGATGCCTCCCTTCCTCCCTCCCTGACTGAGGCCAGCCTTGCTCTGTCCAGGGTCCCCGCCTCCTAGCCCCCTGGAAGTGTGGCACCTGTAGATCAGAGGTGGGTGGGAGCTAGAGCATCGGGCACATTCCTGACAAGACGACACCATCCCACGGCCAGCACCCTGAGGCACTCTGGGCCCAGACTTTTCTGAGACTCTTTCTAGGCTCGGTTGCTTTTCTCCCCAGGGTCTTCCGGCTCTGGCCCCTTGTGAGGGTAATAACAAAGTGACCCCGTCCTGCGCAGTGTGCTGCAGATCCTTCGGCTTCTTTACTATCTTTGAGGGGTGCTCCTGGGATTGAATCAGAACCTCACCGATGCCAAGGGAGGACTCTACCACGGAGCCTCATCCCCAGCCCTTTTACTTGCTGTTTTCATTTTCTAGTGCCTGCCCTGTTAGGGCCCAGCCTTATCCTTTGCAGTCCCAGTCCCTGGAAGACTGGAGGCCTCCACACTAAGGTTTGGAGGTGGGCGTCTGTCCTTAAGCACCTGCCTGTGCAGGTGCAGAGGGCTTTGCACTTGAGTGAGGCTTCAGTGCACTCTCTCCATTATTCTGACAATATCTGCCAGGGTGCAGACCCCTGAGAACTCCTCTAAGCAGGAACTATGGCTCGTACCTCACTGTAGCCCCAGCCCTGGGCAGATGCCTGGGGCCGAAGAGGGGTCAGTGAGTGTCCAAATGATCCAAGTTTCTGCATACATACTCGCCTCATCCCGCGGGACAACAGGCATGACAACACCCCTGTTTAACGGCCAGGTTAGTGGAAGCTGAGCGTACAAGAGTTATGTTGAGAGTCTAGTTAGGGCAGGAAAATGACTCGTCCCTTCCCTTTGCTCTTCTTCCAGCTCCTGTATGTCAGCTTGGCTCACAGCGCCTCAGTTTCCAGGTCTGAAAGCTGCAACTCTTGGAGTCAGGAGTTAGGTGATAGTGGCTAGAGATGGCTGCGAGCCCTCAACCCCTGCCCCTCACGCCCCACCCTGTCCAGCAGGGGCCTAGACACCCTCTCTCACCTCTGCCAGCCCAGTAACTTCCTGAGGGCAGGTGTAGGATCTAATAGCTCTTTGGATTATGGGCTGGTCATTCATTGTGGGGTGCTCTTTACTGGAACCTCTAAGTCTTTCAGGTGCCTCCTGCCAGGGTCAGTAGAGTTTCTGTTCCTTCCTTTAGGATGTCAATCAGAGCTTTGATAGTGCTGGCTTGGCAGATGCAGAGAGAGAAAAAGGGATGGCATGTGAGAGTTGAGCAGGTCCTGGCTCACTCCCCTGCCCCCGCACACCTCTCAAAGGCCAGCAGGGTCAGAGTTCACTCATCCAGAGCGAGGTTGGAGGCCGCAAGCCCAGCAAGGGAATCCCAGAGAGACAGGCAAGTTCTCTGGCTCTTCTCTGGCTGGAACCAGCTGCTGCCCTTGAGGAGGTGGACCGCTTCACAGCTCCTGCTGCCCTTGTGGTGGTGCTGGTGGTGGTGGTGAGGGTTAGAGACCGACCATAAAGCTTAGGGAGGGGTGTTTGTCTGAAGTTGGGGTTCCATTAGACTAGGGTTGGCCTAGAGCTGGGCACAGGGAGAGGATCAGAGTCCCGTGCCTGCTGAGCACACACACAAAAGTACCCTCCAGCTGCCCCTAGTGCCACAGTGACCCTCGCTCTGGATCTTTGTGTGAATGGCAAGCTTAACAGTCTGGCGAGGGGCTACACTGGAGTTTCCTCTTGGTCACATTGGTTTAAGCTTAGCTCGTGCTTGGATTCTAAGTCTCCTGCCCCTTTCTTCTCTCCCACCACCCTCTCTGAGTCTTCTGGATCCAAGGCTGGAGCGTGTTACCTGAGTCCTCCTGAGCCGAGGGTTAGGAGCTGGGGTCATAACAGGTGCTTTCCGGTCTGTGACAGGAAAAGCGCTTCACTGCCCAGTGCCCTGACCCCAGCGGAAGAGCGCAGGTTTTAGGGACTGATAGCTCTACATCAAGGCCAGCAGCCTTCTCTGCTCTTTTCCCTTCCTCCTTTTTAGAACATGATCACAGCTATCACTCAATGATAGCTATTTTCACAAATAGGAAAAGCAGGCTCGGAGTCTCATTCGCATCCATCAAGTGAAGGCTCTTGTCCATGTCACACAACCAGCACAGTTAGAACAGGAGGAAAAACCCTGTAGGATCCTTTGGCTCCTGACCAGGGTCCGGTCCTGGGAGACCTGGATCCCAAGTAGCCTCAGTAGTGTCATCCGAGGGCCAGAACCTCAGGGTCTGCTTGCAGGGCTGGGAAACCTATTCCCCAACAACGCACCTGAGATGTTAAAAAGTAAGCACCCAGGTCTTGGACTGGAAGGGGACACCACTAGCCATGTTGTGTTCTGGATTCAAGGAAAAGCTACCAAGTCAATGATAAAAATAGAGATTTTATTCTGCAGAGGAAGATACTACACAGGTGGGGGCGAGGAGCCACTAATAGCTACAGTGGAAGGAAGTACTGATTCCGGTAGGCAAGGCATCTTTGAGAAATTAGGGGCAAGAAAGAAGGTTGGAAACAAAAAGGGAGAAGAGCGGAGAGGGATATGGTTGGGGTGAAGGTGGTCTTGCACACCAGGCAGGAACCCAGCACAATAAATAGTTTTATTTACAACAACCAAACTCGTGGCTTTGTACCCACGTTTCAGTGCAAATTATTTACACACTGATGAGGAGGCAGACAGGAAGGGGTGGGAGGTGGTGAAGGCAGGCATGGCTCACAGCTGTTCAACGGCCCCACCACGAGGGTGGGAGAATGGGGGCTTTTCCGCTGGGCCCCCCAAACTTATTCTCCACATCATCACAACTGCCCCTTCACCCGAGAACCTCTCGATTCAAGTGCGGGTGGGGAGGAGAAGGCCATGATGCCCAAGCGTATGTTTAGGGGCTGCACCTTGGACAGGGAACCCGAGAACTAGACAACAAAGGGCAAGGCCAGAGGCTGAGCAGCCCGGGTGCTGGCGCGGTGGAGCCAGCCCTACCACAGGGTCCGCAGCTGACCCCAGATGAGGGGGGACAGAGCCTTCTTTCACCTTGGGCCAGGCAGGGGACGGTGCCAGAAGGGGTCTCCTTGGACAGGGAGGGAAGTAGGTAAGATAGGTCCATCAGGGTGGCCAGAAGGTTCGCGCTGCCCCAGGTAAGTGGCCTGAGGAGCCCCCAGGTAAGAGCAGGTGGGCGAGATGGGAGACGGGGTGGCTGGAGGTTCTGGGGTGCAGGACGGACGGGTCCGCAGTGCCAGCGAGTCTGTCTGGGGAGGACAGGAGGACCGCGCTCCTGGGGGCCAGTCTGCCCGGGGCTCACAGACACTCGTGCAGCACGCGTGTGTGCGTACAGTTGCGGCAGCTGACGTGGCAGCACCAGTGGAAGGTGCAGTTGCAACGCTCAGTGACGCGCTGCGTGCGCGTGCGGTGACCCCGGCCACAGCAGAGCAGCTCGCAGCCGTCCAGTGCGGGCGACGAGCTGTTGCAGACGCGCCCCGCCGTGCCCGCCGTGCCCAGGCGTCCGCTGTACGTGCAGAAGTTGGGCGACTTCTCGAAGTAGACGAGGTCGTGCGGGGAGGGCGGCTTGTGCGCGGGATCCTCCGGCTCCAGGCGCAGCAGCTCGGCGCGCGACGCCCGGTTGCTGCCGCGGTTGCCGTAGAGCACGCGGGAGGCGCCGTCGAAGCGGTCGCGCAGCACGTCGCCCACGGCGCGCAGCGTGGGCAGCCGCATCCAGCACGTGCGCACGGTGCACGAGCCGGACATCCCGTGGCACTTGCACTCCTGGCGCATCTCGGAGAACACGGTCTGCGGAGGACACCGCGCCGTCGGGCCGAGGAGCGGCGTCCCGGAGGCCGCCCCCTCCCGGACGCGCCCGAGCGCGGAGGCCCGGGCCGAG